TATAATTACACCAATACCAATTTGAATATAATTCAAGTGCACCATTTTTCGATGGTTCGTTCCCACCGTCATAAATATTGAACTAAAAATAATTCAAAACATTCCCGAACACGCCTTTAGGCGAAATCAAAGCCATTCATACTTAGGATGGATGAAGATTGAGCAAGTTGTTGTGGGTGGCCGCGGAGAAAAGAAGCAAACCAGTGGGCCGAGAGTTTGGGCCGGCGTTCAAGTGTGTGCCAGTCCACGTACAAAAGCCCAAACCTTGTGCCCAATCCATCGGCCCACTCGAAGTTGTCCATTAAGGACCATACAAAATACCCTCTCACATCAGCACCATTCCTGTCATTAAATGTTATTAATTTCTTTTTTTCAATTATAACATAAGGTGAAGGTCTACATAATATATCAATGTTAATTATATTATTTATTCTATGCATAGAGATCCACATGCTTCAGTTTTAGGACGGGATATTATTTATACCCTTAATCATGTTGGTGTGAAGCATAACTCAATAACATCTCATAAAATTTAAAAGGTCGTAGGTTTGAATTCTCACGTAGTCGCACATGGACCAAAAATAAAGAAGATTTTAGGCATATGGATAAGAAGAAAGTTTCCATTGGTTTGAAGTGGACAATATCATACTATTGTATAGATATATTTGTGGAGGGAATGGTAATTCCCTAAGTTTCCTGGCAAGAAGCATAGTCAAAACGCTGGTTTAAAAACATAATTGAGTTGCATAAAGAAAGAAAATGGTATGTTTAGGGCTCGTTTTGCAACATTTTTGTTCCTCGTTCTTTGTTTTTCATTTTTCATTTCTTATTTTTTGTTTTTTAAATTGAAAAGGGAACAAAAACATGTTTGATAACAATTTCGTGTTTCTCGTTCTCTAAAATTTAAATTAAACAAGTATTTTTTTGGTAGTAAAAATTTACTTTTAAATTAAATATTAAAAGTTTCATGTTATATTCCTCTTTTATATTTATTAAACACTTTATAAAAAATGATAAAATAATACTTTTATTCGTGCTTTGGAAAAGACTATAAACAAGAAACTGAATATGTTATTTTAAAAAAAAATTCACAATTTTGGAAACCTGGAGTGAAATTGAAAAGTAAGAAATAGGAAGAGTTATCAAATACTTATATTTTTAAAAAACTAACTACAAGAAATAGAAATGTTTCCGACAAAAAATAGAAACGTTACCAATTAATAGACCCTTATTTACCTCATTGCTCTGGCCAAGGAAGCTAGGTAGCTCTCGTGGAGTTTGACTCGTTTCAAGTCATTTACAATATCTATCTTCGACAGTTTTTCCTTCGTTGGGTGGCATGGAATATCCTACCAAGAAAAACAATATACATGAATTTTATGTCTTTTATGAATAAAATTGTTTATAAAATAGAATATCTTACCGTTGATGCATTTTGTTGCTAATTAGAAAACATAAATTTGAAAATAATAGATTCAATAAAAATTTTGTTTCAGTATTTTTAAACATGTGTTTGATATTATATTTGGTAATTGAATCTCAATTTGAAAAATTGTTCACAAATGTGTGTTTAGTAATATATTTATAAACTACGGGTAGTTACAAACTAAATATTTAGTTTAATCTATATTAATTAATTTATTAACATTTTTTTTTATGAATTTTGTATAATTATTATTTTACAATGTTATATAATTTAGAATATATTATATTTTACATGTTTTAATTTTAACAAACATAAAATGAGTTTATAATATGAAGTAATATATTTTTCAAAGCTTATCACTTTATAATTCTGCGTCTTAGAAAATTTAAATTCTGAATCTGAAACACTGAAAATATAAAAAAGGTCGTTTTCAGAATTTATACTAGATCAAAGAATCTGAAAACAGTTTTAAAAGATCAATCTCTCAAATCTCAGCAAATCCATCTGATTGACAAATCCTAATCTGACTATCCAATCTAAAATAATACTCATAAAAGTAATTATAGATACATTTTTGCTTAACTTACCATTTTCTGTAACAAAGATGGGTCTCTTTGGATACCTTTCTTTAACATAGTCAATGATCTTTTCCATGCCTCTCGGAACAACAAAGAACCTTTCCATCCCAGTCTATCATATAAAAAAATAATATCGTCACATATTAGTGCTTATTTCTTCATGCAGTTTATTTTAATTATTTATAAAATTTTAATAATTCATTCATTTGAATGAACAAGTTTCAAGTCATGAACTATTAATTATTGGTGTATGTTAATTGACATTACAATAGGATACTATTTTTTTTTTTTTGTTGGATAGAATTTAGGGTAAGTTAGAAAGTTATAAGTACATGAACGTTTAATAGGCCACTAAACTTTAGAATATGTCTAATAGGTTGGTTCTTAATATTTTGATTTTGTGTGCATTCCTATTCAACATTTTAAAAATTTATAGATCTACTATACAAAATTGAAAGATTAGGTCCTCAATTTTGTGTCCAATAAATAAGTGAATTTTTAAAAAGTGTCAAATAAATCAGGTCCAGAAAATTAAAAGTTTATGGCTAATTAGAAATCTTTTAAAGTTCAGAAATCTATTATTAGATACAAATTGAAAGTCTAGAGACTCATTAGACGTTTTTTCGAGAACTTACCCGAAACAAGAGGATAGAGAGTCAAGAACATACCGGATCTCCAATGGGGATGCCATCTCGGTAACCAAAGGTGTCAACAAATCCATTTATAGGGCGGTTTGCACCACTTGAGCAAGCGAGTTAGAGTGAAGACAATCCTGTGCATAAAGAGTGCTATAGTGGTTTATGCAAATGAAGTCCAGACTTCCTCTCATTATATCTTTCTCAACGTTTGAGAAGTTAGGAAGTTGGCTTCCTGAAAGCTCTCGCATTTCCTTAGGATAATCTCCGTACACAATTGGATCATACACCCTGTTCAAGCACATAGGTTAAAATAAACATTTTGAAAGTATAGATGAGAATGAGCTAAAGTAAAAAATACAGTGATTAAAATAGTATTTAAACCTAATATTTATTTAACCTAAATGATTTTCTTTTAAATTCTTAATACTATAATAGCATATGAGTATTCTATACTAACCACGTGATTATTTATCGAGAGAATTACAAAAATAGCACAAAAATAAACCTTTTGAGAGAATGAACTGTGTTTGTTTTGACTATATAAATATATATTTATTTTATGCCAATTTAGTATAATCTAGTTATTTTAAGGGTATGCACCCCCACAAATTAGGTAGGGTAGGTATCATTTCTTGAATTTCCTTTACTTCCTTGAACTTCTATAAATATAAATAATTAAATTATTGCAATTTTGGACTGGATGAGAGTGACCCTTGACTAGTACTATATCTCAATAATATTTTTTAATTAAAAATAAAAATTTTAAATTGTTAAGATTTATTTGGACTTGGCCTACATGCAAAATATATTATTGGTGTTTAAAAAATAGAAAGACTAAATATTTCATTTTTGTATTTTTAAACACCATATTTTGATCCTGAATTTTTAGAATTATTTTATTTTAGTACTTAAATTTTCAAGATTTTTATTTTAGTTCCTAAACTTTTTGGTATATCTTATTTTAGTTTCTAAACTTTTAAAATATCTATTTTAATTTCTAAACTTTAAGTATTATTTCATTTTAGTCTTTGAAATTTTTTTAATGTCTATTAATCATTAAAATTTTAAAAATAAATATTTTTGTGATTCTGACCATTATTTTACTGTCAATTATTTAACAAATGGATAATATAACTTCAAACCTGTATATTATTATGTTGATATGACCATGTATTACAACTACATAGGTTGGTTGAGGTTATTGGATAAGAAGATAATTTGGTGTCAATACATTAGCAAAGACCAAAATGACATTCTTTCCAAAGTTGCAAAGATTAAGATATAAATTTTGAAATTTATGGGCCCAAATGGTTATTTCCTCAAAATTTAGAGACTAAAATATATATTTTATAAGTTATCCAACGACCAAATAAAATAAATTTTACAAGGGCATACATTTTTATTTTATTTTATGCATAAACATATCTAACTCATTAAGCATGAAGTATTTTTTTCACCACTTCGTTAATAAATTTAACGTTAATGATAATAAAAATTTATTTAAACAAGATTTAAAAAGAAAAAGAAAATGTAAAATCATAATTCGGAAAAGACTGACCAGGCTAAGTTGAAAATGAAGGCTCTTTTTGCAGCTTGTCTGTCTGATTCCTCGTCTCTTAATGGCTCATACATATGTGTGTATGCTACTGTCCCTATGGATCCACCTTGTTTTCCCTATAAATATATTTTTCAATTTTTTTTAAAATGTTAAACTAAAAATTTAATAATTGTTTTCAGAATAGATTATAAGATAAAAGACCAAAGAAATAGTTAATGAATAAGCTTGTTGAAAGAAAAGAAAAAAGAATAATAAAAAGGAAAGAAAGAAGAAAATGGTTATTATAGGGGCTTTATGAGTATTTATTTTTATTTTTAATTTTGAAAACAGCACTTTATGATTTTTGTTTCCTCTTAATATTTTTAGAATTAAAAAAAAGGAACAAGTAGTTCTAAAACGAAAACTCTCCATCTAAAAATATTTTTTTAATTTTAAGTAAAATATCAGTAAATCGTTAGCTAATAAAACCACCTTAAAAAAAAATTCCAACAAAATTTACCTAAAAAGAACAGAAAAACAAAAACTTATAAAACAAGGGATTAAATAATTTTTATATTATTAATAAAGGAGGAGGAGAAGAAACTTGCTTGAAAATAGGTGCGGTAAAGGCGAACAGTCTTAGCATGGGCCAGCAACATGTTGTGCATGACAATGAGAGGCTCGATATCAGAGTTGCCAGTGGAGCAGTTTCCGAAAGGGGGCGAGCAATGGGCTGGTGGGTAATTTCCTTGTATATATGCCTTTAATGTCACCAGATTAGGCTCCTTTATGGTCATCCAATGCTTCACCCTATCTCCAAATTCTTCCAAGCAAATTTTGCAAAGCAAATTTTTGCAAGGTAGACAAAGTCTTTCCTAAAATAAATCAAATTTGTCCTCATCGTGTCTCTTTTTTCTCACCAATTATGCCATTTAAATCCGCAACTAAGAAAAAGAAAGAGAGATTACTGCATTTGACGGCTCATCCAACCACCATATCTCTTTTCGAGTTCAATTGGTAGGTCATGATGGTGAATTGTCACGAACGACTCCATGCCTGTGACATTGATTCAATTTATCATATATTTCTATTTTAGGGGCAAGTGTACCTTTTTCTCTCTACTATATCCCCGAGATATAAGGGTGTTTTTTGTTTTTGTTTTTGTTTTTTTACATTTTTTTTAAGTACTACGTTGTTTTTAAATTTAAGAATGGTTTGAAAATATATTTATCAACCTTATGTTTTACCTTTACCTAATTAAGTTTAAAGTATAATATATTTAAATCGAGTTATATTTAAAAATATTTAATGATTATATATGAATAATAAATTTAACAAAGTACATATAAATTGTAATATGGAATTTCTTTTCGTTTTATTTATTTATTTTTTTAAATTGCAAGATGTGGGTTGGAGTATCCTCCCGATCCAGAGATATCTGCCAATTAATTTGAGCTATGTTTACTTTATTTTTTTTTTTGTTTTTTGGTTTTTTTTAACCTGATTTTAAAATTATCTCATAAAATAAGTTTTCAAGATCAAAAGGTTGTTTTTTTCCTTCATATTTTTAGAATATACTTCCCAAACATACTAAAATTATTTTCAATATTTATTCTTATATATAATATGACAAATTATATGTTAATGTAAATTTAAAAAATATGACATATATTAACGATATTTGTTTTTTTGTTCTCAGTACAACCATAAATAACTTGTTATATGTAACTCTACATTAAAAAAAGAAATTTTATAACCGTCAATAATAGAAAATAATTAAAATTATATAAATCAAATTAAAAAATGAAGTATGCAAACTAAAAAAGTAAATTTTGTTTTTTTATAGAAAAAAAAGTAAAAGAAGGAAATGAGAGAAGTGCCTCTTAGCAACAAGTGGTCAATGATTTTGTTGTAGAAGGTGATCCCTCTTCTGTTGATTTTTCCAAAACTTCCTCCTATTATTATATTATTTATTTCAATTTACAAATCACAATTATTAATAATATCTCATTTTAATAATTCCTACCGTATCCACAATTAAGATTTTGTCTCAATGAATATTAAAACAATTTTAATGCGTGAAAGTAATAACAATTTTCTACACAACGGTTAGAATAATAATACTATTTTAGTACAACATAGGAGGGTGAGAATCGAACTACAACTTTTTATATCGATAAGTTATCATTTCAAATTGGGATAAATTACTATTGACAAGTCATATGAAGCGGGTAAAATTTTAATTTTATGCATTAATATGTGCAATTTATTAATTCAATGGTAAAGTATTTCCAATTGGTCTAATGAAATAGATCATGGTCCCACATCATTGTTTTGTCAATAAATTTTGACATTTAGTAATAATTATATATATAAAAGAATATTTTTTTTAAGTACAATGGATACGTGGGATTGAATCTAGATAATATTAAATGATGGTAAAATTTTAATCATGATTTAGATGAGATAGGTGTCAATTACCACTTAACATGTTGGCATTATCTTTTTATTTATTTTAAACATACCATGTATGTGACACATTTTATTTCATGCAACGGTTAGATTGTTTTATAGTACAATAACGTATAGGGTAGGATTCACATCTATCCTTTTATCGGTGATATATGTCTTAATTAGATTATGTTTTCTTTTTATTTGGTTGATTAACAAATGTAGGACTGGTTAAAAAGAAATAGTGAGTTTTCAAGTGGATAGAAGTAAAAGCATCTCCGCACATGGCTCAAATGAGATGAGCCAAATGTGTAATTTATTAGTTTGGACCTGAATGTTTTATTAAGCTCATTCTTCCTTTGATTTACTTTAATTCTTGTGTAACCCTAACAATATAAAATCGGTATATATTCTGACAATTGTGTAAAGAAATACAATTGATTATTTACCTAAATAGCTCAGAGCCCAACAAGCTCAAACGAGCATTCGATCAAGATCAATGAACCGAAAGAATCACGATCTTGAAATGGAAACTCATAAATATTAATAATAAAAAATGGTTTATATATGGTTAGTTTTTTTTTCTTCTTTTAGTATGACACTTGGGGAGGATCAGACTCAAAATCTCATATATATATATATATTACTTGTGAGCTAACTTTGACGGTTTCTAAGGTTAGTTAGACCTAGACCACTCAATTAAATCTTTTAAAACTATAGAAACCAAATCGAAATTCTGTTTAGAATATAGTGGTTAAATTCATAATTTAACTAAAAAAAATGGTGAGAGAAGGCAAGCTTACTGGGCAAGATTCGGGTCCAGGAAATGGAAAAGCGATACGCATTCATCCCCATTGAATGCATCAGCTCAATATCTTCCTGCACAAAATATTATATTCACACAACAAATTTTCAATTTTTTCTTTATTATTGTCACAAAAATCAAAACCTTGGTTTTTAATTTATTTCAGTAATCGAACTCGACGGGTTGATAGGAAAATAGTACCAGAAAGCGGTGGTAGTGGTCGTCGGCGACATCTCCGGTGTCATTGTTCTTGATTTTTCCTGCAACAAATTTCAAAATTCCACACAGATAACAAATTTTTACTGAATTTGGGGAACTGGGTTTTAATTTGTTTATGGGATTGACCTGGAATATGAGTAAAAACGTCCCAATTACTGATTCCCTTTCCATCTTCAAGAAAAGCTCCTTCAATCTGCAAAATACCCATTAAAAGAAAGGAAAAAAGAAAACTGAGATCTGCAAACAGAATTGATGAATATGAAAGTAAAGAAGAAAAAAGAAAGTGCCTGGTAAGAGGAAGTGGAAGTTCCAAAGAAGAAATCGCGTGGAAACTCAGATCTTTGAACTTCTTCTTCTTCATTTTGGGCCAAACTCTGAGCTGCGGCATGGGAGCAGAGGAAGAAGACGATGACAGAATAGCAGAAATTTTGGAGGATTTTGATTTTGGTTTTGGTTTTGGTGGCCATCGCACCAATTAACTGGTAGGGGACCTCAAAATTGGCATTTCAGATTTACCAGTGTGGACTGGTAGATTTGGGGCATTATTGAAAATGGGTGTTGGAAACTAGTCCTTTTCTGGATAGGGGCAATCTAATCAGGACTTTAACTTATTCTCTTTGATGGGATGAAATATATCACAGTTTAAAAATTGGATTGATAAACATGGCTAGAGTTTATACTCGTTCGCCTCAAACTTTGACTACGTCTCATCTTTTACAACTATTGGTTCTGCGGTTTTTTATAACTGTGTTCGTGATCTACGGTTCTTGAAGAAGTTTCTGCTATTGACTTGATCACGGCTTTCAAGCTTGCTATCAAGGTTGAGTTATGCTCAATTTGACATTACAGATGAGCTCCAGTGAAAATATTAATTAGTCAATTTCCTTCTTGTTTGTTCACAAAAATATGAGCTAACTTGAAAAAGATATATTAAAAATTTTCTATAGGAAGATGGATGCGTCATTAAATCATTACTTTATTATCATATCTCGATATATTGGCATGCCACATGTAAAAAATTGATTTTGTTGGTGCCACAAATCAAATTTTGAATGATAGATGGATTTTATTTCATGCTTCAGGAAACATCTCAGAGAAATATTCATATGTCTAAATATTTTAATTTAAATATGCATCAACTTTTACACTTTTACACTACACGATGCAAATCAGAACTAGGTGAATCAGATAAGAAAAACTCGAACTAATGAACTTGTATTGTATTCATGTATAATCATTCGATGCTTTATCTTAGATGTAAATTTTAATTCAAGGACTTCTGGGCTTATTTTTTAATGCTAAGGAGGTTGACTCCTTTGACTTCTTGCTTGTTGGAGACTTCGACTTGTTGATGAAATTATTTGACTTGAAACTTAGGGAAGTTGTTTGGTTTGTTGAAATTCTTCGTCTATGTAGTTTGATGAAGTTTTTCAACTTGTAGCTTAACAAACTTTTCGGCTTGCAACTTGATAAAGTCTTTGAAGTCTTCCGTTTTGAGTTTGTTGAAGATCTTTGGTTTGTCTATAAGTTCTTAGGCGTGTTGAAGTTTTTGAAGTCTTCAACTTTGAGCTTGTTGAAATTCTTTGACTATGCAACTTGATGAAATTCCTCCTCATTGTAACTTGATGAAGTGCTTCAGATGGTTGCTTGATGAAGTTCTTCGACTTGTTGTTTAACGAAGAGGATATTCAGTATTCTTTAAGTCTCGTAGTCTTCAGGTATTCAATTCTTAAAATCTTTAGCTTTTGTTGGCTCTAGATGCTCTGTTGAATACTTGTAGTTGATTCTTTTTTTGTTTTTTAGGGGAATACTTATAATTAATTCTAAATACTCTAATAGCTATGAATCTCCAATTTTTCTCAATCATTCAGAATCTCTTCTCAATACTTCTAAATCTCCCGAAATGAGGGGTGACAATCGCTCTATTTATAGAGTTTTTGGTAAGTTTTATATGGTCATGTGCCTAACGGGTTTGAGCCTAATATCTACATGGTTGATCTTTGTTGATATTATCGGACGACCACAAGATAAACACGTGACATAATTTAATTCACCGATTTTAAAATTAATTTAAGACACATGTAAATTTGATTGAGACCACTGATTTCCTGAACATCAAAGAACGCCAGATAATCTTTGTAATGCCTAAATCTTTGTTCCTCATGAGTTTGTAAATTCCTAAGTCCTTCCCTAACGGCCATGGTTTCTAGCCGTTAAGGATCACACGTTGAAAAGAAACATGACCTTACAATAGTTTATAATAAATATAGGCTACTCCTCTCATTGTTCATTGGTTTTGAGTTGGAACAACATGTATATTAATATGGAATCAGAGTCCAAAATACTCAAAGCATCTGGTCCAAAAATGAGATCCGGTCAATGTTGATGAATCAAAAGATCCACAATTTTGAGGGACCATGTTAAGAATTCCACATTGAAAAGAGGAGTGACGTAACAACAATTGATTTTTAAATGAAATCTATAAATATTAATAGTAGCGGTTGGATACTCATTTTATGAACATAGATGCTGCTTGGAAAAAGCAATTCTTCCATCGCATTTTCAAATTGCACCATAACTTTCAATATGATTTATTGACATTAATAATTGTGTTATGAAATAATAATATTAAAGAAAGATTTGGTAAAGTCAAGATAAGATGTCACCTTCACCTTCTACAACAAAATGATTGACAATTAGACTCTCCTCCCGCTTTTCATTACTCATCTCATCTAAAAATTATATCTTTAATCTCTGTACTTTAAATAATTTTATTTCGATTTTTCTACTTTTAAATTTTTTTCCCTATAAACGTCCACTCCACGCTTGTGAATCCGATTCCCAATTTTGAGGTTCCATGGCCACCAAAATCAAAATCAAAATCTCCTTCTTCATCTTCTTCCTCTGCTCCCATGTCTTAGCTCAGAGTTTGGCCCAAAACGAAGAAGAAGAAGTTCAGAGATCTGAGTTTCCACACGATTTCTTCTTTGGAACTTCCACTTCCTCTTACCAGGCACTTTCTTCTTTCTTCTTTACTTTCATATTCATCAATTCTGTTTGCAGATCTCAGTTTTCTTTTCCTTTCTTTTAATGGGTATTTTGCAGATTGAAGGAGCTTTTCTTGAAGATGGAAAGGGAATCAGTAATTGGGATGTTTTTGCTCATATTCCAGGTCGATCTTCACAAAAAATTAAAACCCAGTTCCCCAAATTCTATAAAAAGTTGTTATCTGTGTGGAATTTTGAAATTTGTTGCAGGAAAAATCAAGAACAATGACACCGGAGATGTCGCCGACGACCACTACCACCGCTTTCTGGTACTATTTTCCGACCAACCCATCGAGTTCCATTACTGAAATAAATTAATAAAAAATTTGTTGTGTGAATATAATATTTTGTGCAGGAAGATATTGAGCTGATGCATTCAATGGGAATGAACGCGTATCGCTTTTCCATTTCCTGGACCAGAATTTTGCCTCGTATGTTTATGTTTTCCTTCTCTTTCCATTTTTTCATTTAAGTTAAATTAAGGAATTTAATCTCCAAAATTTTAGCCTTAATTTCAATTTGACTTTTATAATTTTGTAAGTTTTAATTTAGTGGTTTCACATACCGTTTTTCATCACCTGAAAATCCACTCCATTTTCATAAAAGTAGACCTAAATCAGGAGTAAAATTTTTACTAAATATCAAAATTCATTATTGTGAGACTAGGATAATTGAATTGGAAATAATGTATATTTTAATTAATAAATTTTTTTAGTATAACAAGTGGGCGTAGGAGATTCGAACCACCTCTTAGTTAGAAACCTGTGCTAATTGGTTAAATTAGATTTATGAATCCATAAAATTAAAACTTACTCCACCTAATAATAATTTGTCAAAATTTGAAATAATTAATTGTTGATATAGAAAATTGATTCATAGGATAATGCATTTATCTCCAATAAAAAAGTTGTAGTTCGATTCTCACCCTCTATGTTGTACTAAAATAGTATTATTCTTCTAACCGTTGTGTAGAAAATTGTTATTASTTTCACGCATTAAAATTGTTTTAATATTCATTGAGACAAAATCTTAATTGTGGATACGGTAGGAATTATTAAAATGAGATATTATTAATAATTGTGATTTGTAAATTGAAATAAAATATAATAATAGGAGGAAGGTTTGGAAAAGTCAACAGAAGAGGGGTCATCTTCTACAACAAAATCATTGACCATTTGTTGCTAAAGGGTACTTCTCTCATTTCCTCTTTTTTCTATAAAAAAAACAAAAAATTACATTTTTAGTTTGCATACTTCAATTTTTAATTTGATTTATACAATTTTAGTTATTTCTATTATTAACGTTTATCAAATTTCTTATTTTGAATGTAGAACGTGTAGTAAGTTATTTGAAGTTGTACTGGAAAAAATCGTTAATAAATATCACATTTTTTAAATTTACATTAACAAATGATTTTTCATGTTATATATAAGAATGCAACATGAGGTTTGGTTATATAATTAAGGGAGAAATGAAAAAATTAAATATTGAAAAGAATTTGATTATGCTTTGGAAGTATTTTCTAAAGATATGAAGGAAAATACAAACAAACCTTTTCATGTTGAAAACTTGTTTTATGATATGGAAAAATAAAAGAAATACCATTTTGCTATTTTTATGTGTTTTGTTTGGATGTTTTGTAAACTTTATTATTCATATATATTCATTAAGTATTTTTTAAAATATAACTCGATTTAATTATATTATCTTTTAAAATTAATTTGATAAAGAAAATACATAAGGTTAAAAATATATATTTTTAAATCATTTTTTAAATTGAAAAACAACGTAAAATAATTTTTTTTCTTTTCCTACTATGTTAAAAGGTGGGAAAGTTGAGAATCATTTTTTGGATCATTTTATCCTTTACATAATTTTAGAATTTCAAACCTATTCATAATTATAATAATTTATGCTTTATTTATTCCAATATTTTTATTAAAATTAAAAGCATATTTATGTTTTAAAATAAAAAGATGAAATAGTTTCTAAAATCATTGGAAGAATTGAATGGATGTGATAGGTATAGAGCCATTCGTGACAATTCACCATCACGACCTACCAGTTGAACTCGACGAGAAATATGGAGGTTGGATGAGCTCTCAAATTCAGTAATCTCTCAATACTTTTATTCTTGCTCTCTTTTATTGTGGATTTAAGCGACGACATGGTTGGTAAGTTAAAAAAACAAAACATAATTTGGGAAAATTTTTGTTTGTTTTAGGAAAGATTTTGTATACTTTGCAAAAATTTGCTTCGAAGAATTTGGAGATAGAGTGAAGCATTGGATGACCATAAATGAACCGAATTTGGTGACGTTAATGGCATATATAAAAGGCGTCTACCCACCGGCCCATTGCTCACCGCCTTTCGGAAACTGCTCCACTGGCAACTCGGATATCGAGCCTCTCATTGTGATGCACAATATGTTACTTGCCCATGCCAACGCCGTTCGCCTTTACCGCACCTATTTTCAAGCAAGTTTCTTCTTCTCCTCTTCCTTTATTGTTAATATAAAAAATATTCGGTGCCTTATTTTTTTTACTTTTTTTTTCCTTAGATTTAAATTTATTGGAACTGATAATAAACTTTTTTTTTTTTATATAAAAGAGAAGTTTGTTTTATTAATAAGCTAATAATTGATTGATTTCGTGTGTGTGTTTTTAACTTTTGAAAGTACTTGAAAATTTAGTAAAGTTTTAAAAATAAAAAGATGGAGGGTTTTAGAACTACTCGTTCCTTGTTTCAAATTTAAAAAAAAAATTATAAAATAAAGAAATTATTATTATTATTAGTAGACAAGCTTATTTTTTAAGAAATAAAAAACAAAAAATAATATAGTTATTAATGGTCCTTTGTAGTAATATCTCTCATCTTTCTTATAAAATATATTAACAACGAGAAATCATAAAGTTGCTTTGTAAAACAGTATATATATAAATAAATAATCTTAAAGCTATTTTAATAATAATTTTATTATATTAAAGTATAGTTCAATTGGTTAAGATATCTATCTCGGATCAAAATGTCATGAGTTCGAATTTACACTTCCACATGTTCAAAAAAAATAATTTTTTTAAACAAGCTTAATTATTAAATCATATCTTCATCTTATCTCCCGAAAACAATTCTTAAAATTTTAGTTTAATTTTTTTAAAATTAAATTTGAAAATGTTTATTTGCAGGGAAAACAAGGCGGATCCATAGGAATAGTGGCATTTACACACATGTATGAGCCACTAAGAGATGAGGAATCAGACATACAAGCTGTGGAAAGAGCCTTAATTTTCAACATAGCCTGGTCAGTTTTTTTTATCCTAATTATGCTTTTACATTTTCTTTCTTTTTTTTTTCTTTTTAAATCATCTCAAATCTTTTAAAAGTAATAATTTTATCCTTTATATGTATTAATCTTTCAAATAAACTTTGATTGTCGTTAATGTTAAAATTTATTAATGGAATGGTGAAATCAATTGAGTTGAATAAGGTTTTTGCATAAAATAAAAAATCTCTGCCCATTATGGTTTTATTTAATTGGGCCAAATATCATTTTAGTCTCCAAACTTTATAGATATAATTATTTTGGCCTATAAAATTTTAAAATGTCTATATTAGTCTATGAATTTTAAAAAGAAGGTCATTTTGGTCTTTTATGATGTTTCTCTACCTAATTATCTTCTTATCCAATAATCTCAACCAACTTATGTGAATCCAATACGTACTTACATCAATATTATAAAATATATTTTTATGTCACATTATCCCTTTGTTAAACAATTAGTAGCAGAATAACGACAAGAACCAAAATATTTAATTTTTTAAAAGTTTGATAACTAATAGACATTTAAAAAATTTTATAGACTAAATGAAATAAAACTGAAAGTTTGGAAACTAAAATAGATCATTCGAAAGTTCAGAAATTACTAAAATAAAAATAAACTTAGAAATTTAGAAACTAAAATAGATCTTTTAAAAGTTTAGGGACTACTTAAATGAATAATTCTAAAATGTGTTGACCAAATATGATATTTAAAAATATTAAAAATGAAATATTTAGTCTTTCATCTTTTTCTTTTTTCTTTTTTCTTTGTTTTTAAGCAAGAAATATTTAGTCTTTCTATTTTATTTTAACACCAATGATAGATTGTGCAGGGATGGCAAGTCCAAATAGATCCTAACAATTTAAAATTTTGATTTTTTAATTTAAAAAAAAGTTATTGATTTTTAAAACTATACAAGTGGCCAAATGGGTAAAGTGTCACTCTCATCCAACATTGCAATAATTGATTATTTATATTTATAGAAACTAATGGAAGTAGAGGAAAATACATGGAAATGATACCTACCCCATCTAATTTGTGGTTTGCATACCTAACTTAAAATAATCAAAGAATACTTCTATACTATCATAGATTTCAACGACAATGGTTAAATAAATATTAGGTTTAAATATTATTTTAATCTCAGTCAGTTTTGGTTCATTTCGGTCCAATGTACTTTCAATTTTTTTGTCTATTTTAGTACAACATATGCTTTCGAAATATTTGTTTTGTCGTTTTCTATATAATGTTAAGTTATAAGTTCAATTTTGTTTTTAAATGTGAATAGGGTGTATGATCCAATTGTATATGGAGATTATCCTAAGGAAATGCGAGAGCTTTTGGGAAGCCAACTTCCAAGCTTGTCAGATGATGAGAAAAATGTAATGAGAGGAAGTTTGGACTTTATTTGCATCAACCATTATACCACTCTTTATGCAAAAGATTGTCTTCACTCTCCTTGCTCTAATGGCGCAGACCGTCCTATAAAAGGATTTGTCGACACCCTTGGATATCGAGATGGAGTCCCCATTGGAAATTTGGTATGTTTTTCACCCAACGTCTCTGGTTTCTTGTTTCTAGTTTTCTTTATAAGCATAAGCATGTGTTGGTAATGATTTATGTTTCTCATTTCTGAAGAAACGTTTTCAAATTGTATAGAAAGCTTGGAAGCAACACAAAATCAAGTTTTTGTTTATGGTTCTCAATTTAAGTTTTTGTCCAACAGATTCCTGAATTAAAAAAAATTGAAAAAGTGAAGTTATCAAAGTAACTTCCAATTTTGTTTCTAATAAGTCTCTCACCTATTTAACATTTTTTTAAAAATTTTACCTACTTATTAGATACAAAATTGAGGACTATAAACAAATTTAAAGATGTTGAATTGGTCGAGACCTATTAGACACAAAATTAAAAGTTTAGGAGTCTTGCCTATTAGACACCTTAAAGTTAAGAGATTTATTAGATACAAAATTGAAAGTTTATAAATTTATTATTCAACAACACTGACTAAATTTATAATTTAACTTAATATCTACGTGAAGAAGTAAAACAAATGATGATGATGTAACATACACGAATGATCAATAATAGTTGTTCATGATATGAATAATGTGATAGTATAAACATATTATACAAATATTCATCTAGAAATTTAGAAAAGATGGAATTGAAACTTGTTCAATAATCAAATAAGAAAGTAAAATTAAAAGATGAAGTAGTTGTTGGGAAATTGTGAATTATCTAGAAGAGCTTTACTTGCCTTTTTACATTTCCATTTTTTATTAAATTGTTTATACTATATATGATAAATAAGTGATTATTAAAATTTTATGAATGAAATATATGAACTCCATCGAGAAACAAACAAAAATTACTAACATGTGACGATGTTAACTTTTCTTTGACAGACGGGAGTATCAAGATTTTTTGTTGTTCCGAGAGGCATGGAAAAGACTATTAACTATGTTAAAGAAAGATATCCAAACAAGCCCATCTTTATCACAGAAAATGGTAACCTA